TGTCACCTTCTCCAGGCTCATTTGTACTTCATTAACTGCCATTGACTTAACAAGATTTATGCAAATGACACCATAGGAGCTCGCTAACTCCCACTGCAATCAAGTGATTATGTATGTACAATTCTCCACAGCAATGAAAAATTAATACATGACAAGCCCCCTCACCGCTGAGCTGAGCTTCTTGCTTTTATTTTTCTTGTTGTGCTTTTTTTTTTTATTTGAATATGCCCTACTGATAAAGATTTAGCAAGACTGCAGAAAACAAAGTAATCTTTCCAAAACGCGACAAACCGCCCCCACCCTAGCAAATATGTCAATCTAAACGGTACAGCCTACAGTGTGCCTCAAAATACTCACTTAGGCTACCAGGAACAAGTCTTCATTTTCAGAATAAATGGTTTTGAACAGAGGATACACTGGAGTAAGTCATTCACCCTAAGTTTGCTTTAAGGGTACTATTAGCTAAGCTACAGAAGACGCCTTAAATATTTTTAGTTTAAGCGCCTTTTTCTCAGAAATATGTGACTTTCTATGGATTTTAACTTTGGGCTAATACTGTTCTGGACATTTTCTGACTCGATTTGATTAGTACAAGATATTTAAATAGCACACAAGCGAGACTTTTTTTTTTTTTTGGATTTTTTTTTGAAAATTGTGGCATTTGCAGTTCTCAAAGGATGCTAACAGCACAGGATTTAAGGCATGCTGATACCACTACACGTGTAAAAGGTGTTTGTACCTCCCTGAGAAAATGGCCTTCCCAAAATTTCACTCACCTCAGGTTATTTTAACAAAAGATAGCAGCCACATTTTGAAAACATGCCTGCTTTTCATTGCCTACATTTTGGGTTTCTGCTTGGAGCAAGAAGGTTCATCAGAACAGTTTTATATGGCTTAGCCCAATAAAACCGTATTTAGCCCGGTAGTGAAAAGTGATTTTTAACATTTAAAAAGGACAGAAAACGCAAGACCATTAACACTTTTCGACCAGACTGCTTTGAGTTAAGGATAAAGCCCTGAAGGAGAGAGGTGTTTCCCTGGAAGGAAATAATCCGTTTACAATTTTACCTATTTCCCCCAAAAGCTCAATTATTCAGGGGCGGAGAACAGGAATTCAGGAGCAGGTTGCAACTCTTGGCTTCTTTTGACCAAAAAAACCACACCGAACTCTAGCGGCGGTGCGGGTTGGTTGCCTGGGTCCTAGAAAGGCCGGAACACAGAATTACAAGAAACTCTTTGTGCCAGCACAGCTTACTTCACAAAAACGTCTACGTCCGTTTAGAGAGAAACCAGAAGAAAAATTAAATGCCCCTACCAAAGCCCAGCTCCTCCACCAGTTTAAACTGTCTCCAAATATACAAACGCATCGCTCTGATGACAGACATCAGCCAGAGCTAGGTTCAACAGCTGCAATACAGGCCTGATCTGTGAGAAACACCGTAGTTGAGACGGATGACAAACTCCTCCTCATCACATTTTCTACACTTCGGAGAACGCCGATTTTGTCATACATTTTTTTCTGGGCTTTCCCCACCACACACAAATATACTTGACTAATATCAGCTCTTCTTCCTGCCTTTCACGTGTCCCTTTAGTACTGGAGGAAATGTAACTTTTTCCCCCAAACCAGAACATTTCCAATCTCCAGTGAACTTACTTCATTTTTTTTTGTTTTGTTTGATGTTTGGCTTATGGGTTGTTTGTTTGGTTTTGGTGCTGTTTTGTGGGTTTTGGGATTTTTTTTTTTTTTTTTTTTTTTTTTGAACTTGGGAAATAGTATTTCTGATTTTTGGGAGACCCTGGCTTTCAACATCTCAATAGTAAGACTTTTTTTTTTTTTTTTTTTTTTTTGTAGTTACATTTTTCCCAAGTAGCAGTGAACTGAGAACACAAAATCCACTGTACTTGAGTTTCAATCAGAACATACTTTTTTTTGGGGGGGGGTGGGGGGAGGTGGAGTGGGCTGGGTTAAATCTGTTGCTAAGGTCAAACCAACACAACTGAAGTGCTAATCTGCAAGTATGAGCTTGGACTTCTGCCTTGCACCAGAAGCAACGCCCTGCCAGCAGCCAGTATACAGTATTGCTGGTGTGCACACAGAGTAAGAACCGACAGAGAATAAAACAAAATACTAAATACTGACAACAGATATTAAACAGGCCTGGTCACTACATGCTTTTGAAGATGTCCCAAAGACATAATAGAATGGTATGTGCATGAAGCTGACAACGGCATTTTGCTCCACAGCTTAAAGTCAGAGGACATTTAACATAAATGGAGATTACTCATGATACTAGCACAGGGTAGCGCAGCAAAGTGACTTTCAGGCTAACAGGAGGACAAACACTGGAAAACATGGTGACAAAAAAAGATTAAAAGGAAAAGTCTTTTGATGATATAACAAGATAGCTCTCCCACAGCAATACTGTGAATGCTACAATCTGCATTCTACTTCCTGCAACCAGATTTCTCTTTCTATTTCCTGACCATTTATCACAGAAACATAACATGATGGAAGGGGCTTCTCACTGTAAGAAGCACAGTAGCATGACATACTATGATATTTAGGTCAAAAAGTTCTTTTTTACATCCCTCTGACTTACTCACCGCTAATGCATGAAATAAAGGAAATGCAATCTTTCCTAGCAGGAATTTCTACTGCCTCAGAGAAACATCCAAGTACCTGGCACCTGTAGAGCCCACCAAGAACACAGTTGTACCAGCAATTTAACTCAGTGCCACCTGTACTGAGAGGACCCCTCCACCTAAACAGTCGGTAGACCAAAAGCTATCCCCCTCTCAAACTTCAGGAGCCCCTTCTGCCTGAAATAGAATAGTTTGTAATCGAAGACCACTTCAAGCTAACGTATGTTTATTAACAGTAACGAAACACTGTCAGTATGAATACACACTGGACATAAATTTTTTAATTTAATGTTTCTACATCTAAAAAGTATTTTTTCCTCCTCAATCTTTTTTTTTTTTTTGCTTCAATGGCTTGGTGGTGCTGGTCTTCTACACTTCACTGAAGTCTGTCTGTCTAGAATGTAGAGAACCTGTGAACTCCAAATCCATTCTCTTGACACGTAAGTATGAAGCGAAATACCACTGACAGCAGCCATCCTCCAGCACTGCGTCTCGTTCAACCTCCCTTCTCCTAGCACCCTTCCAAAATGCCGACAAATAGGACGTATCTGCTGACTACAGACCTGCTCAAATATTTGCTGATAATTTCATGTATGTGACAAAATGAAATTACCATAATTGGGATTCATAACAAAAAGTACACATTCCCAAAAGACTGGTCATACTCAATATACAAGTAGGGGTTGGAGGGGCAATTTTTCAATACAGAAATTCAAGAGATCGTAAGGGACATTTCATTACAACATAGTATAGTGCAATCACACTTCAAATTTTTGACCAAATTAATTTCATATAACAGCATTTTAGAAAAGAACAGTATGCATGCTCTGAATAAATACTGAAAAGTGTATTCCTCGGTTTTTAATTCTCAGCTGCATCCACATACACTTTTGTTTAATTAGCATTACCCAAAAGAATTCCAGCCGGTCTAACCCATCTAGTACCATACAAAAGCTGTAGAAAAAAAAAATTGTAGCTAGTTTTAAATGCCTGGAATCTCCTCCCCCAGATGCAGAGCCAAATACTGCGCTTATCTGTTTTCAAACGGCTCTTCTGAATTGCAGTGTGTTTGATTAAAATTTGTCTACTAGAGATTTGCAGACATGACAGCGCTTTTGCTGCCTGATGGTCCCAAAAGGTCTTTTTAACTCCCTTTAAGAAAGAAAACCACTGCAGATAGTTAAGGATACAAAACCATTTCTCCCTCACCTGCAAAAAGACAAAAAAAAACCCCAAACCCTAACACGCATAAACTGACCCCCAAATAGGAGACCCAGCGCTACCTGGGAAGATGAAGCATGGACTGAGGAAAGATTGGAAGAGGCAAGTGACCCTCTGGAGGGTAGGAAGGCCACCAAAATAAACTGGAAACAAGTGTGCGAGAAGAAAATAAGCTCCCTTCCCTCAGCACTCCTTTGCTATCTCCAGCAAAGTAACTCACATGGAAGTAAACACTTGCAAACGCATCACAGAAACTATTTGTAAAGCATCCTGTACAAATGCTTAGCGTGCTGTCCTCAGCCACATGACTTCAGTATAATTTAATTTGAGAAAGTAAATGATCTCATTCACCCAAATATTTCGCATCAAATGTCAGCATTGCTTTTGCCTTTCAAAGGACTGTTCACAGCTACAATTTAGCATTGAGTTTCTGGGCTAATGAAAGTGCATCTAGGCTAGTAAAACAGACCAAAACAAATCCTTGAATTCAAGTCCTGTTGTGTAATGAGGAAGTTTAATTAAGGCCACACATTACAGCTGTAAACGTTCTCTTATATAATAAGGTCTAAATGAAACTGAACCTAATCAAAGTTACAATTCCTTCATTAGCAAATTACAAACAAGAGCGCACAGCTGACACACCGGCTATGATTATCACAACTAATTGCCTCGTTGTTACAAACCAGCCTGAAACTGTGTTCAGATGTCCGTCTGCAGTAGCAAATTAGGGCCACATCAGGCTATTTCTGCGATCACAAGGGGCTCTTGTAGAGCGATCTGATTTACCCTGCCGACTGGCAGCACACGGCCCAATCAAAGCCCCCTCTACAAAGGCAGCTTTGAAGCCAGCACAGCCTAGAAACCCGCTCCATATGCAGGCCGGCAGACTGCACTTCATTAGGCCTGTTGTCACATTTTCCCTCTTCTTATTCTAATGATCCTATTTTAATACACATAGGAACCCCTCCTAATTGATGTCAAGTGAGTGACTTCCACATTCATCACCGGAGCACATCAAACACATCTTGGCGCACGGGCCGCCATCAGAGTGCTTAAGACCCGAGGTGTGTCTCCAACTATGGAAAGCAAGGGGGGGGAAAAAAAAAAAAAAAAAAAAAGTATTTTGGCATTACCTGTTTAATTGGGATTGCGCGACCGCTTCCAATGCTATCTGTTCTGCTCTCCAGGACCTTCTTCTCTTTGTCTGGGTCACTCCCTTTCCGAGACTGCAGAGCAAAAAGAAAGTTTGTGCTCCGTTAAATGAAAAGGTCCACACAGAGGATGCTTTTATTTTTTTTCCCCTTTTCAAAGCAATTAAAAAGAAGTATTTTGACACATAAATACAGACTCAAAGTGTGCAGGTTAGAATCTACAAAAGCACACAAGCATCCCAAAATCTGCATACTAACACCACCTCTAATTTTCAACCATCCACTTGTTTGAATTGGTGTTTGGGTTTAAAGAGTTACAGTTTCACTGTCTGAAGGCCCAGCAGATCAGAGGACACATTTCTGAAGTCTCCAATAGTAGCTCCAAAGAGGAACCTCTCATTAAAAAAATCTGATATATACATGCACGCATTTAACTGACATCTATGTGCTTCTTAGAAATATCATCAACTACTTAAAAATCGATTTTATGATGCTGGCTTTGATCTCGTTGACTTTTTTTTTTTTTTTTTTGTACTTTTGGTTGGTTGGAAATTCAGAATTGCAAGAAAAGGTAGCAATTGATGCTGAAAAAAGTTATCTGAACACAATGAAGAAAAATCAGCATGAGAAAAATTTAACCAGTGTTTTAAAAACTGAATTGCCTGATCTTGGTTTTCTATAATGCTGGAACTGCCCCAGGAGTAATCTCACAGTGCTCACTTCATGACTTTATAAAGTTATATAGAAATTTTAAGAAGTTATTCAGATTCCAGTCCATTATTGTGAAAGAACGCACAAGCATAATGATTTTGACAGATTTATTTTATTACAAAAAGAAGACCTGAGAGTCATCCTCCTTAATAACTGAACTGACAAGTGACAACTTCACTCCATTACTTTTCAATAGGAACATTACTCACACAATATCGAAAATGGGAAAACATTTTCATGTGCTTTTCAAATCAGAGATGATATATGAAACGAATACATTTGCGATGTCCAGTACCACAATGGGAGGTTAATGAAAACCAGAGCGACACAAGATCTCGCTTTTCATTTTCAGCGGAAAGAGATGTTTGAAAGACACTGAAATTAGGAGAACGATTAGGATCGCGGAGAGCTTACACCCGTTTTCCATCTTCTACGAAGGGGTGGAAAGAAGAAAAAAAAAAAAAAAAAAAAAAATTCCCAGCGCAGTTGCCTTCAGGCGTGAGAGGAGGGAAGAGGAGGGAGAAAACCCAGGGAGGAGGACTTCGAGTACCACCATTCTCAGCAACACATTTACCCAGCAGGGATCCCGTGCTGCTTTCCCTGCTCCGCCGGGAACGAGCTCCTATCACTAGTTACTATGGTTCAGGGCAATGGAATGACGTGCCGGGGAATTAAACAAAGAATAAATGAAAGCAAGCAAAACAAGTGGGAGGGATGAAATCCAACGTCCAGGATAACTATTGTTCCTCGTCCTTCAAGACAGATTTCTGAATCTGAAAGTGCCACTTCCCAATAATACACGGCAAAACAATGCTTCAATGGCGCAAAGCGCCCGTAAGTGACATTTTAAAGAAACTCAGCGAAGGTAGCCAAATCCTTGGGAGGGAAGTTGTCAACTTGAATGTTTCTTTTTTATTCATCATCTTAAAAGAAAGGATCCTGCCTCTGAAAAGCAAGCTAAATATCTACACGCTACTACTCATTTTTATTTTTAAATCATCACATCTTCCATTCCGTAAAAGTAACTGCATCTGGAAATAATACACTGCACGTAGAAGGAAAACAGCTATGTGCAAAATACTGTCAAATGCCAAAGTACAGAAACGTAGGAATTTGTTGGGCAAATTCTATTCTAGCTGCTTATAATCACAGAATGCATAAAATTTTCAAGGGGAAAGTCTTCGCAGGCTCCACTATTTATGAAGACAAATCATGCAGTGAAATAGAGATACATTCTGATCTTTTATGCTTTTGTAACCTATGACACACACAATGCGTCTTACATCCCATAGTGTAAAAAAATACACTCTAAACCATACCGGATCAACATTTGCTAAGACTTTTTCTGATGTCACATCCATGTATTAAGTTGTTCCTACTTAGAACTTCATTCAAGCGAACCAGAAAAAGTCCAAAAAAATTAAAACACCTGCATGAACAGCATTTGACTCATTTCCCCTTTGCACTGCAAGTCATACTCAAGCTTAAGTCAACATAAAACCTTACCCACGTAAGGTCTGTGAGCACCTCAGTGTGTGCACAACCAGAACCCAGTATCAGCAGTCCAGACAGTCCCAAAAATAAGAGCACTGATCTCTAACAGTATGTACTGAGACAGAGAGTTATTTTTAGCTTTTAAAAGGTCTTGCCTGCAATTCTGCAAAGATGTAAGGCAGGTGATACTGGATATGAGAAAGGAGATGCATCTTCCTGTACCAGAAGTTCACTCACCCCATACGGGATTGGACGTGTAGTTACAATCAGTTCTTTGCTGAAGTGGACCTTGCATGTGTCTTAAATCCCCACCTGCACTATACACTATTATTCAGTTGTCCCTCTTAACACACTGCACAAAACAAAGGACATTTACACCCTTCTGCTAATATTTGATCTATTTTATCACCTACGTAGAATGTCAGCTACCGCAACAATAGCTTTACAGCAAATATTAATATTCAAATTAAAAAAGATCAGACACTGCATTTAATGCACTTAAACATCAACATGCTTAAAATTCTCAACCCTATTCCAACTCACAAGCTGTAACTGATTTAAGAAAAATCACATCTATTTTCTACTTAACTCAGTTTTCTTTGAACACTAAAAGATCGTCACGTAAGAAACTAAAAATACTACCTATGCTAGAAAACAAGGGGTAATTTGCAATTAAACAGAAATATATTTGATTCCGAGTGATAAGCGCATAAGCAAGTAACAGTCTAGGAAAAAAGCATAGGAAGAAACCCAGAGCTAAGCAGAAAAATATTTTGATTATGCACTCTGCTCATAACTAGACAGAAAATACTGGGCAACTATTTATTTAATTAGATAATTCCAGGTTATAACTAGGCTGATATGGCATGAAACCTGGCTTACAGCAGGGTCAGTGTTAAATACTTCAGGACACGGACTCCAGAGCAACTCATTACAGAAATTTCAGTATGCCCAGATATTAAAAGACAGAATTAATTCTGAAAAGTCAAGTTGTTATTATTCTTTTTTTTTTTTTTTTCCATAGGACTTGTTTCCCCCCCATTTTCCTCCCAGTTATTAGACATTAAGACAACTAGCAACATCCTCTCATATTAGTCAGTTTGGTTCTCACTGTGCTATTAATTATCACAAACCAGAGCTTCAGTCTATTTACGTACAGCAAATGCAGCTGACTTAACCTTCTTCTCAAACCTTTTTCGCAATTGTAGATGGGTTTATTTTTCTCAATTCACTTTCTCAAATTTACACTTACCCAATTTAAAACCACCCCGGTTTCCCAAATGTCAACACCACCTACATCACCCCCGACAGCATTTCATGCATCCTTCAGCCCAGAGCTGGCCAGCGAAGGCTTTTGGGGGGATGCTGTAGCTCTCGGCTCCATTTCCAGGTGTTGCTGTGCCGGTGGTTCCTGGGCTGACACTGACACCTAGTGGGGTTGTAACTCCCGAGCTCGCCTGCGCGAGCAGCCGCCAGCCCCACGCCTGCTGTAAAAACACCAGGCGTCAAAACCGGCCGCTTTTTCGGGGGCCACTCGTTTTTGCCCATTTTGTTCTTTTGCACCTAGACGTTTGCACCGAAACAGAAATGCCTGGTGTTCATTCCTTTGTAGGAGAGTTTGAAGATCTCCTCTTAAAATATCACTGTCGGGATGGAGACGTGAAATGCGATCCCTGGGACTCTTGTCATTCAGCGCTCCAAAACAATGACAAAACTTTCTACTTGCTAAAGGCCAAGAGGTCAGATTTTGTTTAGAGTACAAGGAAATGGTTCTACCATTTTTGTATGCGGTTCCCTGGATACAACCAAGGAACGAGCTAGTTTCGGGAACTGAACATTACCTCTCCTTGGGAATAAAAAAAAAATATAAACTCTTTACTGTGACAGGGAAGTCGTGGCTTTCTAAACGCAACTAATGTAGCTACGCTCACCAAGAGACTTACATGTGAGCTCACGGGGATTCTGTGTTTGCTATCAAGCACGTTAAATGTCAAAAAACTGCTTACAAAGCCACAATTACGCACACAATACAATCCCAAAGCTTTCAGCAAGACTGCTAAACGGAGGAAATCATCACTCAAGGCTTCATTATCATCTCCCAAACTACTTATGCATAACAAAAACCTACAATATTGGACCAGTCAAGCTTTCTATTTAGTACATTTTTTTTTTTGTCTCTCAATGAAGCAAAAAACAGATGGTTTGGGAAGGAAAAAAGTCATTTTAATCTCCATCATCTCTCTTAACCCTGGAAAAGAAAAGTGAGTTGAGACTGAATAGTAATGAAACTAGCATGGGGTAGTTATTTTGCCGTACCGTGTGGTACTCCCATGGTAAACCCCAAGACCTCTCTACAAACACAGGAGACCTCGCAAGGGAGCCCTGAGTCAGCAGCATGACTCAGTGTAAAGGCAGGATTGGGGAGCAGAGGCCCAGCTTTCTCTCTGATTACTGCCAAGCCCAGGAATCTAGAATGAAAGGTTAAATCTCAGGTCTGAGAATTAAAGTTGGACAAAGGCTCCAGAATTCAACTGCAGATACTCACTCGCTTCACTGTAATTCCCAACAGAATAACTTCACTGCATTTGGTTTCTGTTTAAGTCCTCAAACAGAACCGCCCCATGGTAAATCTAAAATGTTTTTGTTTTCAAGCCTACAGATCCGTATCAATTCTCCTGTCTGGATTAGACCAGCTCAACTCAATAGGGTTGAAGTTCAGGCCCTCACCACAGAGCACTACGTAAAACACAGCAATAATCTCTTCCTTGGCTCACTCACCGTGAAGAGGTTGGATCGGCGCTTGGACTGTTTACGGACAGGAGTTGGTGTGTTGGCAGTGGGAGGAACATCAATCCGTAGCTCCTTCTGGCTGGTGCTTGGAGTTGATGGGACAGAGGAGGAATAATCACTTAAACTCCCTCCTCCATTACTGGTCTGCAAGGATTAAAGTTAGTTTTAAACAGTGATACACTGCTTTCAAGAAATTACAATCCACAGCTGTATTTTATTTAGTCCTGATACGCAAGAACAGCAGCCTAGGCTCAGGAACACAGCGGGACTGCCCTACTGCCACTTTTCCACACATTTCTATTCCAAGCCCTTCAATATTTTCCCTGCCATTGTTTTTTGAAAACTTAGAAAGTCCTTTTGATATGGCAGGCACATTTTCATTCTACACAGTACAACCTTCACTGGATATAAACACTTTCATTTGATTTACTAGTGTATGAATAAACAAAGCACTGGGAAAATTCTGGTTTTTTACGTCAAAACTGCTAAACCAAATTCTGCCTCAAACCTAAGAAAAAAAACGCCTAGTGCCATAGAACTGCATAGCTGGATTTAATCCTAGTTTGGAGACACAAGTTCACCAAGAGCTAATCAAGAAAATGAAAATAATTCAACATTGTAAAATGGCTACTGCAGTGATAGGGCACAGAGATACAAAACTTTAAGGGAAGACAATCCAATTTATTCGAAGTAGCCAAAAATGTAAAGTTACATCAGTCTTGAAAGAAATAAAGGAGCCTGTTAGTCTGTAAAACAATTAATGAATTGAGGCAACAAGTTACTAATAACAGGAAGGTGAGGAAACCGGATAGAATGAAAAGGACCAAAAGAACAAAGTCTTGATTTTTTTTTTTTTTTTTTTAAATTATTAGTCATAACATGAGTACTAAAAAACACCATTAAAAAGGATGTGGTGGTAGTCTGGAAAGACAAAAGGACAGATTTTTTTCCTATCAGATACAAGTATAACCTTTGAGGATATACTGTATATGCTGATGAGGGACTGGGGCAGGGCAAAGGTGGAAAATTCTGCGCACTGTTGATGAAAAGCTCACCAGAAAAGCAGCAGTGGGTGAAGGGTCTGGACAACAACCACATGTAATTTATGAGGGGGAAAAGAAAGGTCTGTGATGCACACAAAAGGGTGAAGGAACATCTTTAAAGCAGCCAAGTTTCCTAAAAGAAGTGAGGAAAGAAGGTAGGAGGGTATTTCCACGATGCCCGAGGAGAAGGATTCTCCCATGACACTTAAAACCCACTACTTGGTCTCATCTTAATTGCTATAGGTAGGAATTCACCAGGTAAAGCTGCTCAAAAGGAAAAACAGGCATTCCAGTGCCTACTCTCACACGCTCCTTGGAGGTGGGCATACGGACCAGGATCTGAAGTTGCAAGCTGTCAGGATGAAACCTCTGAAGGAGAACCAAGTAGGAGACAATCTTTTATATCATCCAGTTGAAGTCTTGTTTAATGATTTCAAGTCCTCTTGTGATTCTTCCAGTTTTTCCAAATTTATTTATTTATTATTGGTTTTGGTTTTTTTGCTTTTTAATTTCAAGAAGCAAAGGGTGAAAAGGAAGAAGCATGAGACAAGCAGCTCACATTCGGGTTGAAGGGCCCATCAGTGCAGGTAGAAATCCAGAACCACCGCTTCTGAAAGTCACTGTTTCTCTCTAAATAACAACATGATCCTTAGCTCATTTCTGTATGACAACATAGGACTGACAATACAGCCAATGAGCTTTTTGATGGAGAAAGTTCTCCTCTTCCCCTCTTTACGATGGGGAAATTTCATCATCCCTTCATTCTGAATGAATTGGCAAAGTATGGCTGTCAGGAGGCCAGAGGTAAGGGTACTGAAAGTAACAGAGGATCTTGAAAAAGTTTTTTTTACATTTTCAAGTGCCCTGAGGAAATAGCAAGCAGAATTTGGAGATGGCCCAAGTATATAAAACAAGTAAGGTGAAAGAACAAGAGCTGAAAAGAGCATTTTTAGTGTCCTAACAGAGAATGGTAACACCAGAGAGATGAGCAGAACAACCTGAGAAGAAGCCACCTTAATTTACCCCGCATGTGCTTTCCCCTTCTCTATGGCATCCTGCTGAGACACCAAGTAACACACCAAACATACAGAAGAGCAAATGGCACAGAGCCTGGGCAGCTCAGAGATTATCTCTCTAAGAAATACAGGAAAGACTTTTAAATAAAAAACAGTCATGGAAAAAAAAAACATGTACCTAGGACACTCAGAGTGATTGCCAAAAATTTGCCAAAATTCAAACTGCCAACAACTTTGAAAATGAGAACCAAACCACTGGACATGTCCGAGGTGAGGAGGGTGGTATGGAAGCCTTAAAATGTGGCTGACATAATAAAGTACAGAAGGTGAACTCTGGAAACTCAGCAAGTGTAAAATAGCATTAGGGAAGGAGACCAAAGATGCTGGTGTCAAGGAATGGCTTTCAGACTGAGTGGTGAGGACCTGCTGTCCTCTCTGCCATGACTGAACCAAACTGGGGTGGGGAAAATGAGGGAGAAGGAAATCTAAGGAAGCGACCATTAATTGGAAATGGCACTGAACACATTTAAGATTAAAACTATGCAGCTGAAAGGCTCACCCAAGGAGGAAAAGAGATGACAGTAAGTGATGAAGATGGTGGAGAAAAGAAAGATCACAACAGGGTTATGTCTCAAAACACTTTGAAGCAGCCTCTTCTACAGAAAGAAGAAAAAGGCAAGGAGAGATTCGGATGTTGTACACTGATGACAAGATTTGAACCACAGGCTGTTGAAAATAAAAGCATGCAGCTATGTTCTGTTTCATAATACTGATCAACTTGATAAAAAAAAAAAAAATAAGGGTGGCAGTGCATAGTTAACTAAAATGAACAGATTTCTACCCTAAGTGCCTATTTCCCAGATAGAGCTCATACAGGATTCCCTAGAATTTTATCTTTTTAATCTGTCATCTTACAGCATCATTTTATACTTTTTTGCAGTGAGGCACTGACTCCTAAATTTTTTAAAATGATTTATTTTCCAGGAGCAAGTAACTCCTAAAGGAAAACACATAAACGTTGGGCATTCTAGTCCCCAAAGACAAACGTTCCTATAGAGGGAAGCTTCTATAAAAAGTCCTGCAGGCAATGTTTCTCTTCATACATACTAGCCCCACTGGGTTCCCAACTTTGTAAATAAAATTCTGAGGTGGCTTCAAAATAAGTCATGTCAAATCTACTGGCTGAAAAAAAAATAAAAATCTATTTCAATAGAAGACCTAAAAGTGGAAAACTTCAAGGTTTCCACAAAATCAAAGCGTGTCTACGAACACCGAACAAGCTCTAACTGCTACTGAGAGTGACAATAATTAGCAAACAGCTAAAACTATATGGCTGCTCTGAAACATCTCAACAGAGAGAATGGGTTTGACAAGAGTGGGCTCAGACGTGACTTCCAAGTAATAGCCTGCAATGAAAAATGCAACCAGACAAGCGCTTGGAAACCACTGTCTTGGTAACATCTGAACCTAACGTGCTGCTGAAGGAAACAAAAGGTGGCAAGCGGTCTCTGTCCGGTTGTTTTCTTGCATCAAATAAAAGTACAGGGACTTTGCCATATTAAGACTGTAGAGAGCAGTTTGCTGCCATCAGTATGCAAGCATTAGTAACAGGTTCACTGGAGTCAAGTGCAGAATTTAGGACATGTGGCAATAACTATAATCGCAGAACCTAACGTTTGTCCCGAGCCATAAGAATCAAGTCAGTGAATCTGAAGAACTACCCAACAGCACATGTAACCCAACACTTATCAAATATAAGGCCATCCGCTGACTGTAGACGAACTGGTCAAATCTGTGGCAGTCAAAACCAATCGAATAAGTACTAATACCCATCGGGACATTACACAGCTTAACATAACTTTTTCAGTCAAGTTTTTCCACTAAACTGCTCTCAAGTCTTGGATGTACCTGAGATGTCAGCACCAAGGGCCATTTTTGAGTCACTGCTCTAACCAGAGTCATGGCAGTAGGGACAGAGGTCAACCAAATGACCCTATGTAGGGAAAATGTTAGCCCCAGTAGAACCATTACACAGATACATCCCTGTTTGGCTTTCTCGAGTGACAGGTTTTCCTGTCCTCATTAAGGGAGGGTGCCCACTCTGAAACATGCTCAGTTTCTGGACATACACAGTACAACTTTGTTTTTCCTTCCTGCTAGAAGATAGATACACAGCCTGATGGTGGTTAATGAACTTCAGCATACTGTTAGAGAAAACCCCGGAATCCTTTCATTTCGAGGATATGTTATTTCTAGAATGTACCTTGTATGAATGGTCAATACTCCATTTACAGAAATGTATAACTTTAGTACCTATACAGGCTTCTAGCTTTGTTGCCACACAGACAGATGCTGTAAAAAACTCAAGGTCATAGCAACAAGCACAAATCTAGCAGAGTATTGTCACTACACCATTACCAGACAAGAACAACTCAGATGAAGCTATCAACCTGGCATAACTTGACCAAACAGGTCCAATCAGTGCAGTTACCTCAAAGGCAGACCCTGCCAAGGAAAGCGTTGAAGCCTGTAATGAGATTCCTGCTGATAGCTCATAAAAAAACCCCTAAACTTTGTATACTGGGTCCACAGTCCTCGGCAGAAAAAGGATTGAACCAAGTCAAATCACACACTTTCAAAGTTTTTAAATACTTCAGGTTTCCTTAGCAAACAAACCGGTGAATCATTTACCTGGTGTAACAGGAACTCAGCAGCGATCTGCACAAAGAAAAGGTTGGACTTACCCTCATATTTGCAAGGGGCATGTTCCTGACTGGCCCATTATATAAAGAAGGCAAAATATTCACCTTCTATAAATTACCTGGTATTGCCAAATGGTCCATAAGGTTTACATAGTACAAATGTCAGGCCAAACCACTGAATGAGAACATAGGAAGAAAAATATCAGCTTTATCTTCATGATAAGTAACTTGATACAGACAGACTCAGTGTTTTCTTTCTGCTCTTTAGATATACCAGAGCGCCCTCCAGAAAAATAATCTCTAACGACTGCTTGAAGGGAAAATGAAGGCAGCAGGTCCTACTTCTGAAAGAGGCAAAAGATGCCCAGAGCTTCAGGAAGCCT